TTCAAAGAAACCAATATCCCACCCACACCCCGCAGTTAATTAAACAGATCACTCAAACACATACCCTAAAAAAATCAACGAGAGGAAACACCCCATTCCGGACGAATTAAAAAAAAAGATTTGGAGAATGGCAACGTTTTACAACTCCACGTGAGCGCGTTTCTCTGATGCCTTCTCAACGCGCACAAAATAGCAAGCCGTGATGCAACACCTCAAAACCTAAACGTTGAGGAGTTATCTACGAATTAATGAGTAAAATAAAGACTAAATCGGTTTCTGTTGGCTTTATTTTCGTGGTCTGATGACTGTTGACGCATTTTACGCGTATTTGCATGGGGATCTGGGGTAGTAGTATCATGCGATCGTTGAGATGAATCACGTTGTAGAAGAGCCTGTGGGAAGATAGTGTTCAAAACAAATATTAGTCACGTGCATTAGGTACTTCATTGAAGGAAGAGACCCGTGTTTCGAAATAAAAGTTACTCTAGATATAATGTGTTGGCTTCGTGCCGATCTTTTAGAAAAGCCAGTTCACCCCAGAAGTAATTAGACGCGAAAATAAAGAAATAAAATCCCCCGTGGTCACATGTATGGCAATCACGTGACCGGGATCAGCTGGGAATTGGCGGGAGTGTCTGGGCAGGCGCTTGTGACGTCACGAGAGCAAGCGGCGCGCTGATTGGCCGTAGTATTACTCGCGCGTCCTGATTGGCCGAGGCGCGGTTCCCACAATGCCTTGCGCCTCGCCGCTTCCATTTTGAGTCGAGACGATGAAGTGGCCGAGAGCGAACGTACAGGCAGTTCTGTGAGAGACTCCGTGAGCGTTCCACCTCTTAGTGCTTCTGTGGCATGGTGACTGTAGTTTAGTGAGCATACAGTGGTATTTGTTAAAGTGATAAACATGGATGTGGCCATGAAGCTGGATTTCGACAGCTGCGACGACGAGGAGGTGAACACATCGTTCCACACGCTGAGCTCGGGCTGCGACGTGGAGGATGGCGGCGAGTTTTCCAGCGACGATTTAACCACATGCAAGCCCCCGAGCCCTCCCACCTCGCGCCTCTTCAGCCCCAGAAAGTGCAGACCGGTGAACACACACAGCAAGCCCGAGGACGAGAGCCCGCAGCAAGTGCTAGACTCGCCTCCCTACAAGAAGATCCGCGCGCTGCGGCTCTTCGACTCGCCCGCGACGCCCAAGACGCTCCTGCAGAAGAGCGCCGCCGAGTCCTCCGTCAGCAAGGCCAACCCCAGGCTGCGGCTCTTCCCCGCGGGCAGACCCAGACACAGACCCATGGCCTGGACTGTGCCCGCCACGCCGCCGCCGCCCCCGCCGCCGCCGCAGACGCAGAAGGAGACGAAGGCGGTGGTGATGGAGGTGGCCAACATCAACCCCTTCACGCCCACGGGGATGCTCCTCTCCTCCCGCAAGAGGACGAGATCGCGGAGGGAGCTCGACGGCTCGCCGAGGTGAGTTTCGAAATGGGTTTTTTCTCGGGCAGAGGGACACGTTGAGAAAGCTTTTTAAAAATTTAAATATTCGCCCCAAACCCACATTTAAAACCTAATCGCCCCCATTAGCCAACGACCCGAACGATCAATCTAAACAACATCCAATAGAAACTAAAGTAGAATCGCCCGATACACCCGAATAATACAGCAGAGGGAAAATAAAAACAGGGGCAGAGTTTGTGTATTTTGAAGCAGACGGGGAGACATGCCACGCTCGTGCGCTGCGTTGCCAAATCTCCGCCTTCGCTCCCCCCTCTCATTTAATTCATAATTACGACCCCAAAACACATTATTCTACATAGAAATAAATATTCGTTTATATCATTTTTTAAGTTATATATTGTAGCTGGTCGGAATTGATTGTTTACGAGAAAAGAAAGTGGGCGGGGGTCGAGGAAGGGCAGCGGGGGCACGGGCAAACGGCCTGTTGCTACGCGCGCCAGATTTGACCAGTATCGGGGGCTCGGGGAGGTTTAAACCGCACCAGACGGGATTTCGCTCAGGGATTCACGCCGATTCCCTTGCTCTCGGCCCGTAATTAAGGAGGGGGATGCTGGTGTTGGTGATGCCGGGGATTTGTTTTGGTTGAAGGTTTTATATTTTTATTTTAGTGGCTTCCGCTTCTGTTGCGCTGGGTATTTTATTATTAATTATTATTATTTTTATCATTATTATTATTTTTTTTATCATTATTATTATTTTTTTTATCATTATTATTATTTTATTATTATTATTATTATTAATTTCAACATTTAAGTAGTATTCTTTTAAAATTAATGGTAACGAGTATGAGGTGAATATTTAGATGTTTAAATATTTTCATGGGTTAGGGGATATTTCAAAAAGCATAGTATATATACACATCCATAATTAATAACATGTATTTATTTATATTATCTATATATTTGTATGCAATGCACGCAGCATATTGTATAACATACCAATATGCATAATATTAACCCTCATTGCATTGCCACTAACGTCCTCTCTTCTCCCTTGCAGTGACACAAGCTTCCAAACGACCATGGATATGAGCATGGACGACTGTTGTTGCAACGACTCCTGTGACGAGTGCGAAGACGAGACCGGACGACCGACCAAAAGACTAGCCATCCACGAAGCCAATGTCTCCAGATACAACCACGAATTCTTGGAATTGTCTCTCATCGGGCAGGGAGAGTTCGGCAGTGTATACAAATGCAGACATCGGCTGGATGGCTGTGTGTACGCGATCAAGAAGTCCTTAAAACCAGTAGCAGGTTCAGTTAATGGGTAGGTATTCTTTTTTTTATTTATGTATAGTAAAATATGATTGAATAATAATGTGAATAAGGATTTTGATGTTTGAATGGGTGTTAATGTTTTCTTATCTTTTGTTACAGGAGAATAGCCCTAAACGAAGTATATGCACATGCTGTTTTAGGCAGACACCCCCATGTTGTCCGGTATTACTCTGCTTGGGCGGAGAACGATCACATGATCATCCAAAACGAATATTGTAACGGTGGATCCCTAGCAGATATTATCGATAGCAACAGAAGAACAGGCAGAAAAATCAGTGAACACACGCTAAAGCAGGTCCTCCTCCATTCAGCGAAAGGTTTAAAGTAAGTTTCTACATGATTACCCTTAATGCTAGGGAAAATATTGCCTTACTGATTTTAATTAATGTTTTCACATGCATTCTTGTTGCAATGAGTTCAATATTAAAATCGTGCAGTTTCGTATGTAATTTTCACTCATTCAGAATTGTAGATTATATACTTTTTATTATTATTCCTTATTAGTTTTGTACTGTACCCGTATCCCATTTATAGTTGTTTATCTATTATTTTGATGAATCTGTATATTAATGTTTTTGTTTTCTTCCAGGTATATCCACTCGTTACAACTGGTCCACATGGACATCAAGCCAGCCAATATATTCGTGTCTAGAGAGCAGAAGGTGAATCTACAGGGTGAGGAGTCTGCAGATGATGGCTTTGAAGAGGAGCAAGTAGAAGAGGAAGAGGAAGTCACATATAAAATTGGTAAGTGTTTGCACTTAACTGAGTTTTGTTAATGGAATGAGTGCTAAAATTGTGTTGTAGATGTGTGCTTTCCGTCATTTTTACTCCAGCCACTAATGTTTTACTTGTTCCTCTTCTTTTAGGTGATCTTGGTCACGTCACGTCGGTTGTAAATCCAGAAGTTGAGGAGGGTGACTGCAGATATCTTCCCCGGGAAATACTACAGGAAGACTTCTCACAGTTACCGAAAGCAGACATCTTCGCCCTAGGTTTAACGTTGTACGAAGCTGCAAGAGGCCAGCCACTACCCTTGAATGGCGACGAGTGGCATGCCATCCGCAATGGAGAACTGCAGCCTTTTGCCAGGGATACTGGAGCTTCAGTTGCTACTGAAACAGATGGTCCAGACTGACCCTGCAGCTCGCCCCTCAGCTGCACAGTTGGTACACCACAATTCCTTCTGCCCCCCAACGAACAAATCCAGGGCGGAGCTCAGAAGGGAACTAAATGCGGAAAGATTAAAGAATGAAATTCTCTCTCGTCAGTTGAAGGAAGCAGCAAACTGCCTCCAAAGTTTATCTCCTAATGTAGCTTCCAATTTAGCGGCAGTGGCCTCAGGTGTCCTAGCAGGCGTTGCGACTGTAGGTGTTCCTTCTTTACCTGCGCCAAGAGCAGGACCTACCACTAGAAATTCACGATTAATAGGCAAAAAAGTGAACAGAAGTGTGAGTACAAGTAATTTCTAAATTATAGAATATTTTAGGAAATTGTATTGCAAGATTCTAATTTAATTTTGTCTTTATTATTATTTTATTATTACTTTATCATTATTTTTGTTGTTTGTTATTATTATCATTATTATTATGATTATTATTATCTATTATCATTGTTATATATTATTATTATTATTATTTTATTATGATTATTATTTATTATTGTTATCTATATTGTTATTATTATTGTTATTATCATTATATTATCATTATCATTTCATTATCATTTATTATCATTATCATTATCTTATGCATTATATTATCATGTATCATTTCAATTAATCATTATGCATTATCATTATCATTATATTATCAATATTATTATTATTATTTTATTATTTTATTATTATTATTGTTATTAATTATTATTATTATATTTATATTATTATTATTATTATTATTATTTATTATTTTTTATATTATTTTATTATTATTATTATTATTATTATTATTATTATTATTATTATTGTTAAGTTATTATTTGTTGTTAATATCATTATATTATTATTATTAATTATTATTTATATTATTACTACTACTGCTACTATTACTATTATCATTATCATTGTAGTCGTGCTTTTCTTATTATTTTTGTTATTATCATTATTACTACTACCATTATTACTATCATCATTATCTTCCGTTTACTTAGCTTCTTATTATCATCACTATCATTATCATTACCACAACGTTTTCAAACATCGTCATCGTTACTAATAATTTTAATATAATTACCGTTACAATTACTATCCAGATTATGATTTCAATATGGTAATGTCCTCCCCGCCCCCCCCCCCAAAAAAAAAGGAAAAAGATCATGGAATATTTTTAGTTCCACACAGCCGTCATTAGAAGGAATGTTTTACCTTCATTGGTCATAATCGGATTCAAAGAAAATATTTGCGAGGTGAGAGGGTGTGGTGATAATAATATAATAATAATAATAATAAATAATAATAATAATAATAATAATAATAATATAATATAATAATAAATAATATAATAATAATAATGATAATGATAATAATGATAATGATAATGATAATGATAATGATAATAATAATAATAATAATAATAATAATAATAATAATAATAATAATAATAATAATAATAATAATAATAATAATAATAATAATAATGATAATAGATAAAAGAATGCGAGGTGGGAGGGCTGTGCCAAACTGGAAAAAATACAAAAATAATAATGATAATAGATAATAATGATAAATAGATACAAGAAAAGAATAAAGGATAAAAGAAAATCCTATAACCCCGCGTGCCACACCAGACGGATTACCACTTTTCTTGAACGGACGCAAAGACGTGTAAACTGAGGAAGAGTTAAAACGTTCTCAGTATTTTCACCCATGACGTCATATCGGTGAGTGGCTATGACTGTTTTTTAGGCGGAATGAATAGTTTACACTCGGGTTTAGTTGTTGCTTTGGCTTGGTGGGGAAAACTTCCTATTTTGTCGTAGATAGAAAGGAAAATAATCTTAACTGGGTACATCAAGGTAATGTAGGTTCGAGATAACGTTTATCAGTGTTATTTTGTTCGTATTTCCCCTGGGAGTAAAAGGCAGTTGATTTAAGGTGTTATTAGGGTTACGAAGTTATCCTGGTTTGTTAGAGAATCACTGAAATAACAGTGTAGGAATAACAGTAGGGGTTGTATAGGTAAGTGATCATGAATTGGGTTCTTTTATGATGAATTTCGTATTCAAATAATTATATTTGTTGTTATTTCTATGTCATTATTTCACTCTAGCGTGCTATAGATATTGTTGTTGAAGGGAACAGTTATTCTGAACGTTTTATTCGAATGTAACACACAATGGAGGATTGAGATAGGCCTATGTATCATGTATTTTGAGAAACTTTTCTTTTAGAAGCTATATTGCTATTTAATTGAAGTTTAAAATAGGAAGGGAGATGTTTATTTGTTTATGAGATGGATATTGACATAATTTTACAGTTAATTTCTGAAATGTATTATTACTGTAAGGATATAGTGAATTTTAGATTTAATTCATGTAGGCAGAAAAAGAATGTAGTGTTGAGAAAAGATTTATTTGAAGATGTGGAAATTTTGCAAAGTGTATGCTCAAAATTAGGGAAATTAATTTGATGTCATTTAAAGAAAACAGAATATTTAGTCATTCACAAGTATTTAAGGAAATTGTTTCTATAACGAAGATCTTCAGAAAAGCTGTCATTTGACGAGGAAGTCGTATGTTAGCCTATGTTTAGAAAACTACTCTGTTTAAGATATTTTGGCTAGTTACCCCCTGAGGAAGGATTTTCTACAGTTAGGGCTGTTGGAACGGGGACAACAGAAAATGGGAGTGCTCAGATCTTTTAACGTATTCCCAAACAATATATTTATTTTATTTATTTTTATTATATATTTTTTGAATCTTAATTTTTCAATTTTTATCAAAGTGGATGAGGAAAATAAATGGCTGATGATTAGGAGGCACCTGAGAGTTGTTCAACTAGAGACATTTTTTGTATGATTGTATTGTTATTATTATTATTATTGATATTAATATTATTATTAATGTTATTATTATGGTAAGCCATATAAAGAGCCAAACAAAAGAAATTTAAAATTAAACCATATATGTATTATCCAAATCCACCTGTAATTAGTCGTGATATCTGATATTAGCATGGTAGGCAGGCAAGCTGAGCCCAAAAACATGTCAAGCATACAGTGTAGCCTCTGCTCATAGAGGTATGGCATATTCCAACGAATCTTGACAACGTATATTTTATCGAGACTAGGCTCGAAGATAAACTGTAGAAGAGGTTCACAAGCTTTGATTTATTTCTCTCTCTCTCTCTCTCTTATCTCTTCTCTTCTCTCTCTCTCTCTCTCTCTCTTCTCTCTCCTTCTCTTCTCTCTCTCCTTTCTCTCTCTCTTTCTCTCTCTCTCTTTCTCTCTCTCTCTTCTCTCTCTTCTCTCCTCTCTCCTCTTCTCTCTCTCTCTCTCTCTCTCTCTCTCTCTCTCTCTCTCTCTCTCTCGCTCTCTCTCTCTCTTCTCTCTCTCTCTCTCTCTTCTCTTCTCCTCTCTCTTCTCTCTTCTCTCTCTCTCTCTCTCTCTCTCTCTTCTCTCTCTCTCTCTCCTCTCTCTCTCTCTCTCTCTTCTTCTCTCTCTTCTCTCTCTCTCTCTCCTCTCTCCTCTCCTCCTTTTCTCTCTCGCTC